GCTGTACATTAAAATTATCTGCTAAGCTTGTTATCATAGTGTCCAGGACTTATATCTGGTTTGGTTGTTGTTGTTGTTGTTGTTGTTGTTGTTGTTGTTGTTGTTAATCTCCCTAGTTGATTTTGATTTGCAGTCAAGGTTGCGAACCACAAAGCTAAGGTATCACCTCTTCCAGGAAGTGTTCCCAGACTTACTGCCCTTATCCCAAATCTGAGTTCCCATATTCTGCGCTTTAATACTATCCTGTACATATCATTAACTTGGCATTTTTGCATTGTACTGTGCTTGTTTCTTTCATTTTCTTCAAGACATACTATCAACAAGAGTAATTTCAGACCCTGCCTCCCATCTGAGGTTGCTAATATATAAACTTTCTGGGACAGAATGGACTCTAGAATTTGGTGGAGCTTACTTTGTATGTCATAGGCAGTGCATACGATTCAGAGAAAATGAGGAAACAGGTGATGACAAAGGTATTCTCAGCGATAATGAGATGGGAAGAAAGTGCAGCAGCCTGGACAGGGGATAATTCTGTGTAAATTGTGTGTATCGAAAGGGGCAACTTTTCGGAATATACTTTCAAGCTTGTAGGTCCAATAGTGAAGCTTAAAAGTTTTTACCAATGGTAGCACCTACCCTTCAAGGGATTCTGTTTTTCTCAGTAAAGAAACTGTACATTGAAGGCTCCCTTTCCTCCCTCCCTTCACCCCCCATGTATAGGGGTCCACAGAATATAGCATTGTGCCAAAAAAGCTTGGCCACTGGAGCAAAAGTGGCTACTTTTGAATCCTCGGTCTGCTACGTACTGTGTGACCTTGAACAAATTACTTAACCTCTGTGGCTCTGTTCCCTCCTCTTTAAAATGAAGATTGTAATTGTATACTACTTACCTCAAAAGCTGTTATAAAGATTAAATGAATTGGTCTGTATGTAGCCCACACTGTAATTATTTACATACTGTTACAGTATTGAGACTTGCTTACCTCAATAAAAGTATTAGTTATGCATATTCTTAATAGTCGAGTGATGCAGAAGAAATGTGTAAAGCTGTGATTTAATGGATTTTCAATTTAATTGCCTTTTAGTAGTTTTAATTGTATCTTTTAAAATAAAGGAGGATACTTATTTCTTTTCTCACACACACACACAAGAAATAGGGATTAATAAGTGAAAAAACCTTCACTGTGCAACAGTAGCCAAAGTCTTTGAATTCTATATGGTAAATAGTATGAAATTTGGTTTCTATCACTGTCTCCTTTGTAGCACTTGATAAACTAATTTGTTAAAAATTCAGTTTAATTTATAGTAAATGTAAAAAAATTTTTTTAAGTAGAAGTTCTCAAAATATTTTTGGTTTGTAGCATTTGGCATTGAAAAAAATATATAAATATAAACAGGTATTATTGGGATTTAACAGCATGGAAGACACTAGCCTCTGGAGGTTCTACCCTGGATGCTGTTGAGAGTGGCTGTGCTGTGTGTGAGAGAGAGCAGTGTGACGGCTCTGTAGGCTTTGGAGGAAGTCCTGATGAACTAGGGGAAACCACACTGGATGCCATGATCATGGATGGGTAAGAACCCTCTTGAGCACCTATTTATCTCTGCCCCTTCACTTCATGTTGAGTTACATTTAGAGTTGTAGTCTTCTACTTAGAGCTGGATGGAAGAATGCATGAGTTTTGTCACAGGTCAAAACCTGTAGCTTAACGTAATTGGTCTTTCCAAACACAAGGAGTTTCCCTCTCAACATAAAAAAAAAAAAAAAGAAAAAAAAAATTATAGTAATAGAAATGTCACATGTAAGTAGTTATTCTCCTTAGAACAGGGAGAATCCCAAGCTATAAAAATATTCCCTCTAACCTTATAAACAATCATTTACCTGCCATCCACAAATATTGTGGTCTGCCTGACCTGAAGCCTCGACTCCTTTCAAAAACCATGTTTAAAATGAGCTAGGAGAAACTGAGAATTTTAGTGCTCTTAAGGTGTATGGTCAATTTATTTTCTATGTTTTCCTTAATTTTGTCTGATTGTGGGAATCTGTAGGAACTTCATGGATGTCCTGTCACTTCTGTGTTAAGATGGTGGAGTTTATCCTACAAAACACTATTGCTTGGGGAAAAGCAATATATTTTATCTATGCAAATACCTTATCTATAAAAATACCTTGAAATATTATTGCTTTTTTTGTTTTCTTTTTTTGCGCAGCACTACTATGGATGTAGGAGCAGTAGGAGATCTTAGACGAATTAAAAATGCTATTGGTGTGGCACGGAAAATACTGGAACATACAACACATACACTTTTAGCAGGAGAGTCAGGTATTTTTTAACTATACCGAAATTGTTTTAGTTTTTTGTCTATGGTCTTCACTGTGAAAAATAGGATTCAGTATAAAACAGTTGATAAAAGCAGACCTAAATTTTAGCAGTTTTGCTTAATATCTGTTTAACTACTTCTAAATCTCACTTTATCTTCACAATAGAATTTTAAAAATAGCTTATTATCTGTAGCTGAATGGGCTGAAACTGGATTCAGC